CAGTTATCTATCATTATTCCAAAGGCTTCAGTTGTGAATTTCATACTACATATCAAAATCAGACAACTTTTCACGGCGTTTTACTTGTTAGATGGTACAACTGACAATCTAGCTGCTGAAGCTGATCGCAGAGGGCAGGGTTTGTCAAAGCGCATAAACAGATGTCATCAGTGCATATTTAAAGTCATGCATCCAATAAAAAAGGCATCGGTAGGTCTGCCTTTTATTACAATTTCCAAGTGTAATCCTGAAAAATCCACAGTCTCAAGTTATTCATTACAATGCCCGCCTGGGGCACGTGTTCAGAATCCTGTGACATAAGCAGACTATATTTTCAGGAACTTATAAAACTTAGTGCATGCCTGATATTAAAAAAACTGCAAAGCCTAGAAAGAAACGTCAGGCCAATCCAACACATCGGCTTTATGAAGACGCTGTTGCCAATAAACCTAAGATACCTGTCAAAAAGTATCAGCAATCTACGCTTCTTCTGAGTCCTTCAGCTAGCCGCAAAGCTTTCAATGCAGGTTTGCTGTGAACTGTTTATTATGCTACTGTTAACAGTGTAACAGCACCTTGCGTCGTCATCGCTACAATGGAATACGAAGAAGAAATTGCAACGTTATAAGCTATGCTTAAAAAAGAAAGCTTCGTTCGCCGGATTATGTTAATAAGAGCTTGGATGCTGCAATTTCATAGCACAATGAAACATCGTCCGTGACAAATCAATAACGCTTCAGCAAAAACAATGGCGATATGGACCTTGCATTGCAGAAACAACGCGACAGTTTTTTTCGCTTAAAAAGCCTCTTAAGCACTTAAACGTTTAAAAAGCTTCTAAGCGGGAGCAAGTACTCAGTGCAATACGCCGAGACATCATATAGCTGTTTACCATACTCCGCTGTATCAATCATTATTTCTGAAATTTTGCTAAAGTACATAAAGAATGGGTCATGCAGTATCGCTGGGAACGAACGAGACAGTGATCTAGAGAAATAAATCACGCGAGATTTATACGATATTGCAGCCGTCATATACATTAAAGCGGTGATCTGCTGAAATGACCCGTTAGGTATCTTAGACCAAGAACGTAAAGCAATACGCCGTGAAGTCCGAACTTAGAGGGGCAACAACCGTTTCCTTCCTATCAACAAAAGCCGTAAAACTTGTTTAAAAGATTTATGCATATTAACGTGCTTCTGAAAAAGGAACTCGCATTATTCGTATTTCGCGAAGGAAAACCAGAGTTCGCCTCCTCGTCATTATCCATCATCAAAACGCAATTTTAGATAATAAATAGATGCTAAATGCTTCGAAACACTACAGAATGTATGATACTAGTTGTTGGCTTTTTAAATCACAGCTTAGGTATTTAGGAGCCAGAGACAGTCCCAATAATATCGACTAAACCTTCATCATGACAGGTACTGAAAAATAACCTTGTTTGGAAAGCTTTATGTTTG